AGGAGAGAACTCATACAAACAAGTTCAACATAGGGAGCTTCTAGAGGACTCTAATTTAGTCAGTCCACTTAAAAGTTGCTCCAGGCCTTTCCTAGGGCTTTGAGTGCACATCTTTCCCTTCTGTGAACTCCTTAAAGCAGTGGATTTAGATGCCTATCTGGAACTGGACTGCAAAAGCTGGAAGATGGCGTTCATCTTATTGTTTGGCAGACCTCAGCAAAGTTAGTGCCCTCCTCTTACCCCCTCTCAGCAAATTGATTAGTGAACCCCAAAACCTCTCTCAGGTCTCCTGGCAGAGGTGTGGGAAGCAGGCTTTTGAGAACAGTCTGGTTTTCTTTGATATAGAAAATACTTTTCCTCCAAATGCAGATTTGATACCAGGACAGGGCTACATGCAGTGCGAAATAACCTGTTGAGTCTGGTGAAGGTAGTTGTAGTAAAGCTGTATTTGGCACTTTGCTACTGAGATTTCTGGTCACTTGAAATAACATAAGGACCTTAGTCAAAAGAGTTACATGCAAAGGCATGGATTTTGTAATCAAGCAAAAGGTCGGGATTTTTAGGATGTCTGAATTTTCAGCCTTTTTGGAATCTCCGTGATTTCGGATTGGGAATATTTGTGTCGTATCTGGGCATTTCCTATGGTTGAGGTCTGAGGGTGGTTTTGGGAGCTGGAGTGGCTGAAAGTTGCCTGTCTGTGCCACACTGCCTGTCTTTACAGTGTCTCAGGGGGATGACATTTAATTTGGGTTTGGTGTGAGAGCGAGGGAGGAGGTTTTGAATCACCAGCAAACTCCTGCCACAGCCGTGGCTGCTGAGGGCGAGTGCCTGTGCCAAGTTGCTCTCTGGAAGCACCTATTTTGCCAGCAAAGGTTCATAACATATCAACGAGGACAAAGAGCGTATTACCCACTTGAGGGGCTGCTGTAAACTCAGTTGCCCTTTGCTGCTTCTGCCTCTGATTTTTGGGGGAGTGGGAGGGGAAGGGAAGTCGTAAGAGGCAATGACAGCGGAGAGGGGGACGCAGTGAGAAGAGCCCCTGCTGGCATGGCCGGCCTGACCCATTCAACAGGGCTGAATACGATAAATGCTGCTTTATCCTTTCTTGAAAGGAACAAGATAGCAAGGCCTAAATGCCTGGGTGTGCTTAAATAGGCAACTCTGGGACGCCAGAGTCGAGGGCGTTTGAAATCGGAGCTCCCCAACAGCCAGGGAGCTGCCACAGGTCACCTGCCTCGCTCCATGGGGACTGGCCCAGGTCTGGCAAGAAATCGTGCGCGGACGAATTGTAGTACAAATTCCTTTCTTTGTTGGTTGGCCTCTTTCACTAGACCATGGCCTATAAAAAATTGTGTAAAAACAATTCTTAAATATTATTTGAAAGGGCAAACGGCCACGCTGAAAGGTTTGACAGTTTGACATATAGCGCCTGGTCTTGCTCGCCAGGGAGCGGGCGTGCGGAGCCCGGGCTCTCCTTCTGCTCCTTACAGGCTCCAGGATTATTCTTTTATTTTTTTATTTTTTTTTAAACAGCGTCTAGTTGCTGTGCAGAGTTGCTGCGCTCCCAGCAATTTGACAGGCAACGAGTCTGCTTCAGTGATCTTAAATCCTTTTAGACTAATTTGCGAGCGAGCAGAAAAACAGCTAGCACCTTCGGATCCAGCACTCAAAACCAGGGAATCAGGTATTGCCAATTAAAGTGCCATTTCCAACCATCATATCAAGACAGATTACTTGCAATTCCTCTGATAATGTCACGCCATGCCTAAAGAGAAAGCGAGATGGAGTTTCTCCATGGACAAAGGATCCGTGTGGGCCAAACTCCTTGGCGAGCGGGGCGGAGGGAGCGCGGTGGGGACTGCACATAACACACATGCATATGTGCAGCGCAAAGGCGAGCAGTGCGCCCGCTTTGACCCCAAATAGCCATGGGCCATTCTGAAGAGCCTGTGGCCCCTCAGTCACTGGCCTACTAGTTAATTGCCACACGGACTTCGTGACACATGGGCAGATAATATGACATTTTCGGTTTCTGTCACTAGCAAACGCCACGGCGTTGCTTGCACTAGTTGCTAAGAAGCTGTCAGAAACCATTAGCAGCTGGCTAAAGTTGCCCTATGGCATTTCCTCATGGCATCAGCAAAACAAGCATAAATCACCCAGCGGAGCCTCCCGCTATACTAATGAGGCTGTAAGCTTGTTTATGGACTAGCATCATTTCTATGATTATTTCCACCTTTTCAGTTCGCCTTCATTTGGCGGCAGGAGAAGTCAACTTCAGGAACAGAGTCGCCACCGACATTTTACAAATGCAGTTCGTAGCTGCTACCGTGTGGCTGGTCAGTGGTGCTTCAAGTTTGTTTAGTGATCTTTAAAAGGAGGAAAAGGGGGGGGTAGAGATGGGGGGGAAAGAAAGGGCGGGGGGGAATCTCTGGAGACCTCACAGAGGTGAGTGTATCGAGTTGCAAAGTAGATGGAAATACTAAAATCCACAATTGACCATTTAGAGTTCTCTCTGTGGTTTCAGTCTTTATGGGATCAATTTTCCATTTAAAAAAAGTGGAAGAGGTTAAACAATTTACAGAAGTCTACCGAAGCATTTGCTCCAAGGATAGCTGGGCGCTTTCTTATCCTCTCCCTGCTTTTCACTTTCTCTAACTTGTGTCGGTCGAGGCCAGGGTTTATTGTTTTAGGCTTTTCTGAACATACACCAGTATTTACACTGGATTGAAAGCATTTGCTTCCAATGAAAATCTTGTCTTAGATTACAGCCCAGCAGTGTAATTTCCCTCCCAGATGGGAGTAAAGTAGCAGTATTTGCCTAAAAACAGTAGGAAGAACAAACTGTGCATTAAGCCAAGGCTGTTTTTGGCTTGAGCTAATGATGTAACAGAAACCTTTTATTTGGGATAGGTCACTGCCCGGGATTGAAGGAGGTGATCTGGCTCGCGCTTGAAAGGTTTCTCCATTGTATCTACATAAGTCTTCACTTAAAAAATCCTGTTCCTAATGCTTCTGCTTTCATACAGCAGAAATAAACAGGAAAGGTTCTGGGGAGTGTTATAGGTGGAATGCAGAAAGCTTTTCCTCCCCTAATGGAGGATATAATTCAGGTGCCCTGGAGGCATGCTTTCAGGAATTCTCTTGCCTGAGGTAATGGGAAGCTAAGGCTGCTTGAAGGCCTTGATTATCTATTGATGCACAAAGCTGGAAAAAAAGTCATCTCCCTTGGATTATAGTAGATATTTCCATAAATTATCAATGAGTCCTCCTCCCGTCAGGCATGAGGCAATGCCTGCTAAATTAATCTGAAGGGGGTTTGAAATGAGTGTATTTTTAAAAAAATGGGGTGGGGGGAGAGGGTGGGTGGACGATGGCAGGGAGGTGGTGAAAGGCAGTGTCATTAGGTTAGAAGCTTTTCATTTTTAATCAATGAATGCGTAATACTTTTCTTTTCCTTGTTTGCCTCTCGCAGACAGAAAGTGGATTAGCCTGTGGAATTTTAAATGCTGTTGAGTTGTTTCCTTTGCTCATGTTTCTTTTATGAATTATTATTTTATATGGTGAATTGCTTCTATGTATAAAAGCCCTTTTTTACATACTGGGCTTTCAAAGAATTTGTTGGATATCTAATTTCTTCATAGAAATCTTGTTTGTTTCTGTAGCTACCCAAGGTTACCATTTCATTAAAGACACAGGCCAAGTCATAAGGACAATTATAAATTTGCCACGGTCAGTAACATGCTAAAAATATAACACTAATAATAGCTTTTATTTTTTGGTGCTGAAAGCTGTTTAACAAATCATAATTTTGACAGTCTGCATCCTTCTTTTTTTTAAATATATTTTATTTTCGTCCCTAATGGAGATAGCTTTTAATGAGCCCAATTCAGATGGCTTTCTTGATCATTCTCGCCCAGGGGTGTAAAAAACACTTGCCTAATAACATCACAACTCCATGTTGCTACAAATACAGTGTCCTTGCAAGCCAAGGATATACCATTCAGTCCACATGCAGTGAATGCAAAGACTTATTTGCTCTGTGGACTTGTTTATAAGCTGTGTCCAGAGTTTGAAACAAAAATTGCATGCAAACTGGCCAGGCCAGGCACTGCAACTTTTGTTTTCCTTTGGTCACTAACCCATCGACTCAAGTTGGCTGCTGTGCAGTGACATCCTCCCCTAGACGTGCTGATAATGTGTTGAGAACTGTCTGCAACCTTCTCTGCATTAAGGAAATTCATTCTGGATCAGTTATTGTTTAACAGGAGCAGACACCTATTACGGATATGGCACGCTGGCACAAAGCAGGGTGTTAATTCCTAATGGTGTATGTCAAATTGGTGCCTGCTTATCCCACTATGAGTTCCTTTTGGCTGGGGCCAGGAAGAGGGGAGGCCAGTTAGCTACCCACCTCCCATCAAGGAGTCAGGGGACATCAAGCATCTCTAAAAGACTTAGTAGAAGTGATGCCCCAGTCATCTGGTTATTTCCAAATTTGTGGAGAGAATATGATGCAGCAAGAGAGCTGCATTCACCCTGCCTTTCACATCCCAGAGTGGGATGAGGCACCCGGCTTCACACGTCATGATCCCCATCCGGGAACACCACTTTCCTGACTGTCAGCTCAGCCAAAGTAGCTGATTGGGATGAATCTTTGGGAAGTGACCTAGTGTGAAGAAAAGCCACCATTTCCACCTTTGCAAGCTGGATGCTTGCATGGTTTTTTCAGTTTTTAAGTACTTTTTGTTTTGGGTTACCATGGCAGAAGTGGCCACACTGTCCTTCAGAATAAACAAAAATGGGACTGACACAGTTCTGAGAACCTCCCTCTCCCCATGTCTCTCCCTCCCTCCCCCATCCCCTCAACCCCTGGTGAATTACGGTGTTAAAGAATTTATACCTCATTTAAATATTCATGCAGTTTATACCCAAAGCCAGGCTTCGGCTGAAGTATATAAAGGTAGCATAAGTCAAAATTTGATTCACTATATTTACAGGTGACGGCTTGGACAACAGTGTAGCTTCCCCCAGCACAGGTGATGATGATGATCCAGATAAGGACAAAAAGCGACATAAAAAGCGTGGCATCTTTCCCAAAGTAGCCACAAATATCATGAGGGCATGGCTGTTCCAGCATCTAACAGTAAGTGAACTCTAGATCACATATGCAAAAATAAAACATGGATAATGTCATAGTTGTAGTAGTCATAGAAAGCAAAAAATACGTATGATGTTGTTGACAGGCAGCTGAGGAACTGTTCTGGGCAGAGCTGTTGTTGCCTCGTTTTCTAGATGCCAGGGGAGGAGCACAGAGTGTATGTTTTGATGGTTTGGGTTGTTTTTTTTTTTTGGTGTGTGTATGTGTTGTTTTTAGATATTTGTTTGTTTGTTTCTTTGAGACGCAGTTGTTAACAGGGCGTCACTGCGAAATGTGATTTATACTTAAAGCTTGTATGAACGTAACCCCGCAGACCTGTCCTGCTTTGCAGCTCCCCTCAGCTCGATGTGGGAATCGCTGCTCTGGAGCACAGAGCAGCATTCGGCCCCTGGTTCTGCGCTCCGGAGAGCCGCGGAAAACAATTGGGGAGATTAAAAAAACAAAGCCAAAAGCAAACAAAGAGCTTATTCAGATGTTTGTCAGAGATCATCAGAAGCTTCATGATGAAAGGTCTGAATGTATCTGGTTTAATAGCAAAGCATAATTTTTTTCTTTGAGACATTCTCATTCCCAGAGTGTAAGTTACCCCTGTATTTAACGTTAGAAGGTGGTGGGGGGATGCGCAGCTATTTCTGTTACCACAGCTACCTGTATGTTTCTGTTTTTTTATTCCTGGAATTAGAAATCAAAGCTCTGGACAGGTGTGTGGGGTTAAGCTGGATGCTGGAGCTGCTTTCAAAGCTTTATATTGTGTACCACACCTTCTAATGTTAGCATTTAGAAAAGTGTTTCGAATGCCATTCTCCTTTTACATCAAATTGTGATCTGTCACTATGCTTTTATCCACTGTGGGGATATGGGCTTTCAGCCCCAGGTTTTTTGTGTCAGCCTTTCTGTACCAGGAGGATAAGGGTCAGGAGAGAGGTACTGAGGGTCTGCTGGTGGTAGTGAAGAATGGCTCTTCCCTCTAATCCCAGTGGTTGACTCTTCTCCTCTGCCTGTAGTTAGGGTCAGGATGAAACTAGAAGCTGGCCAGCTTGCCCAGCCCTGGTGGGAGCTCTGCCAAGAGTATAGCTGTAAAGTGGAGGAAGCGCTCATGCACATCACCCCTCCGTCCCCCGCTGAGCCAAGAAACCAGATACCTGCCATGACTCTTGTCAGCACGGGGATCAGGCAGGGAATCCTGTCCCGTGCGGTCCTGGGTTGCTATGAATGAACCTTCATATTGGAGCACTGCTCCTCCGAGGCCAGAGGGGGCCTCGGATATCTCCAAGTTAATCTCTCCCCCTGGCAGACTCCATGTCAGTCATGCCCCAGCTTTGCCAGCTCCTTATCCCTGCCTGGTGAGTTCAGTGCCATGACTTCCAAAGGCTGAGGTCCCTTTAGGTGTTGGCAGCTCCCCATTTCGAGGTCCTCACCCAAAGTGAGCTGACACCTGGCATCTCTCTGCAGGTAGATGTGAGCTAAAGGACGTCCACCTCCAAACAGTCCAGGGATGCTGTGCCAGCAACAATGCTCATACCAGCCTGGCACGGCTGGTTTAGGTTTTGGATCGAGGAAACTCTGCAGCCAGGACGAGGCACGCCAGGGAATGCCGAGCTGCGTGTCAGTCCCTGTAGTTTCTAGTGAGGAATTGCAAATTAAGTAGTATAAATATTTTTCCCGAGAGTGTCCTGTTGCTGTGTTCGTGCTGGTAAATAAAACATCACCCAGACCGAAGCACAGGAATGTGAGAGTCTGTCCTGCTAAACTGCTCGAGCAGTCTTCAGCATGCTCTTAGCCTGGACCAGCTACCTGGTGGTAGCTCCAAGCCCATGTCCTCCAAGCCCATGCCTGGGAAGGCAGAAGGCTACAGGGTGTCTCCAAAAAGCCCTTGTGGCAGGAAGCACCCTGTGTTGAGCATTTAACTACATGGGCTTGACCTGATCCTGCAGCTAGTTTCATGCACAGTCTCAGGATCAGAGAATGGGCCCCCTCATTGTTTCATTTAGGTTAATTGTAGGGTTCTAGTGGCTTTTCACTCTTCTCCTGTGAGGTAATAGTGTGCAGAAGAGTGCCTGTGTAACTTGCTGAAGGGCTCCTGGCAGCTCCTGGGAGACAACATTTGCACATTTTCTTTTAAGATGGTCTCTCCTTCTGGAAGACTCAAATAGAGGAAGAACCATCCCCTGTAGAACCTATGCAATGAAACTGCTGCATTTTCTACCTTGCAGCACTGAGCTAAAGCTTGCTTTAAAAGTCCACCATCCCCTGTGCAGATCCTGCCCAGCCAGGTGAAGCAGGTGATTTCTGTTGCAGGGCAGCTTTCTCCTCCCCTGGCAGCATGGTAGATCCAGGGTTCTCTGATCAACTCAGTGAAACAGAATTGGTTTATCCAGCCCAATCTTCTTCAGTTAGGACCTTGAGACAGACTCTAGGTGGGATCTTGGACAGTTTCCTTGAATTAAAACATGTCTAGAGAGCACTGTAGGCTCTTCCAAGTGCTAGAGCAATACAGTGTGTTTACAGACTGCTTGGGGTGCTGTCCTGTCTGCAAAAAAACCCCAAAAAACCCAGGCCCAAATTATGGCTGCAATCAGAGCTGAGGAGTAATGGTGGAGAGAGACCAAAGGAATTAAAACTCCAGTTCATTTTTGAGGGCATTTGGCTTTCATGACTGCTTTTAAAACCCTTCATGGTGGTATGGCGGTATCCCCAGCTGGTTTCCTTGCTGCAGGAGGGAGATCATCCCAAGGAAACTAGAGATCCCACACCATCTATCTATCTATTTGTTTATTTATTTATCCATCCATCTATGTATTTATCAGTGGATTTGGTCTTTTGTAGGGTGAACACAAGGTCCTCCCTGAAGTGGGAGGTGAGGAAAGATAGGGAGGTGGTTCTGTTCAGGCAGGGGATATGTCAGGGCAGGCCCCTGTGCTTTACCTGCCTTCACTTCCCAGCTGAAAAATGGCAGGGAAGAAATGAGCAGCAGTTAAGTGCAAAATCCAGCATCCCCCTGACCAGTGGTGCTTCCTAATTTGGGTTGTTAGTTGGGAGCCCTCCTCTTCAGGAGCAAATTTTTTTTTTTTCCCCTCACAATTGTAATATTAATACACACATCAGCAGCATGGAATTAAACAAAATAGACAGTAATTGCTGTGTCTGTCATACTAATGATTACCGGTTGGAAAGACTTAAAATAAATGTTGGACGAATATAATCTTTCAAAAGTGTATAGGTTGGTTTAGTTCCTTCTATGCAGTTATTCCATCTCCCAGAGCATTAAGTCTTCCTCTGTGTACTGACTTCATTTTCGAAGGTTTGTCCCCCAGTTCTTGTTTCTCACTTGGAAGGAAATCCTTATTTTTTTTTTTTTTTTCTTTTTTTTTTTCTCTCCGGATGTTGAAGTGTTTGGGCAGTAGTTCCCACTCAGTGTCAGGCTCCAGCCCCTCTCCCCAGCCCAGTGCTGTCCTCTGTGGATGCAGGCAGTATGCTCTGAAGCAATATAGGGGATAAATAAATCCAAATTGCCTTTTCTTTTTTTTCCTTGCCCCTCTTGGAACAACAACAACAAAAACAATAAGCTAAAACAATTGCAAAAGTGCTGATCAGACTCACATTTAGGACTTTGCAGGGGTTTTTTTTAACTGTTTGTTACTCTGACTTGATTAAACGTGTGAGTTGCAAGAGCTGCTCGGGTTGGCTCTTAGATGGGTAAAATGCAGTTGTGGAGCTTGTTGAAATTTTTTTCTGGTAGATTATGACAACAGCTGGTAAATTTGGAGTTTTATAAAATCTATTTTTAGGATTTTGCTATAAATTTGAGATGGCAGCCTGTTACTATGTGGATTAAAGAAAAAAATAATAATAAGAAAAAAAGTTTCTAATAATTGGAAGTGGTGAGGACATCCCTAAACTGTTAAAGGAGAGTAAGAATTGAAGAGAGGCTTGTGGAGTGGCTTCAGATGAACATCAAATGTCATGGCAGGGGCTGGAGGAGGGACTGGGGCAAACCAATTCTGTGCTGGCTCTGGACTTTTGAAAGTCATTCTAAGGATAATGTCAGGGTGTGTTGCAGCCCAACAGTGTTTTGTGGGCCTTTTAGACTTTTTAAACCCTTTTAAAAAATTATTTCTTGGGTAAGTTAATATTCAGTGATCATTTCTTCCCCCCATTTTTCAAGCAGATCTCCTTGCTGTAATGGGAGGAGACCCTCACCCTCAGCACGAATTGTGAAATAAGGGAAAAGCTTGGAGACAGGGAAGGGAAGAAAAAAATAATCTTGCTTACAATTAAATATGTAAATTTAATTGTAGCAGCATGGTTAGTTTCTGCTTCAACCCATTGTATATTTTTGTCCCAGTTTTTTGGTATAAATCAGTATTTGGAAGTGGTATAAATTCCTTTTTGTTCAAAACTAGAAGAAGGGAGTTTGTGGGGTGTTGTTTCAAGTTTGGGTTTTTTTTTTTTCTCATTGTCAATTCTCTGCATCCTTTAAATCCAGTTTAATTTAAAATGTTGGTATTCAAACCTCATTTTGGGGATTATACGATGTAATTGGTTTGTTATATGATGAGTATTTGATGATCTTCACGTTCATCATCTAATCAGGCAAAAAAAGCCATAAAATTATAATCCCAAAAGATGTTTAATAACAATTTAAACTATTGAAGGCTTTATTTAAGCACATTAGGGGATTATAAACTACTCTTTTTTAATGGTGCCAAGAGGTAGATTCAAGGACTTCAAACACCTTTTAAAAAACAAATTGCCATGATTTAAAAAAAAAATGAATGGGCTGAGGGTTTCTTTCATGTAAATCCCATAATTTAATCATTATTTTTAACTGCTTTAAAAACAATTTCCTTAAGAGGTTAAATCTCACTGAAATGGGACACTGAGCAGAAAGTAAAAGACGTGGCTGAAAGATGTTGACTTTAGAGTGAAAGGATTTTTTTCTGTTATGTAACTGGATTTTTAACATTTATTGATTGCTTGATACA